GTATCCAGCTAGTTGGCTGACGTATATCCAGCTGCTGATGTGGGTCCGGTCGGCCGGAATACCTTCAGTCCGTAGCCTCAGAGTAAGGCACCGAGTTGGCCAGCATTCGAGGTTACATTATCTCCAGATAGAAGCAATCTAGTAGTTAGCCAGGGTGCCATGCAAGAGATTGTACAATGGGCAAATTGCTCGAGTATTGCAGGTGGATATCCAATAAGCAGGAGTATCGATCGAAGGGATCTCTAGTGTTCGAGCAATCGCTGTCTTTTACAACATTCTACGAATAGACATAGAACCGTCAAAATTCATGGAAATGAAAGGGAATCATTCATTCATTATACACGTTAGCTAGAGGTGGGAAACACCTCAGCTACTGTGCCGCAGTACATAATAGAAAAAAGGGGAAATGCAACAAGTGCAAGCCAGCTGAGCTACCGGTAACGCATGGGCATCATTCCGGTAAGCTACCAGCCGGCTACTATGCAGCAAAAAGATTACTATGCATAATTATTTGAGCCTATATAGTGAGATCGCGCTTGGAGGAGGAGGTTAAAATGGATGGGGTGGGACAAAGAAACTCACAGCACGAACGCCACTGAGATCTGCTCTTAGCCATATCAGCAAGTGTCTCCAGCCAAATGTGTTCATCGTCTTTCGGATCCCAACCAGTTATCCGAGACGCTCCAACCGAGGCCAGGTTCGAAGTAAGGGTCTCTCTCTCGACCAAGTCATCGCTTGGCCACCCCTCCTTCCGTTTACAGCCCCGGCGCACAAACCACGCACGTCGCGGGAGTCGGTGGGCTGGCATGCATAACACGTAACCTAGCCATCGGAGCCTGGTGCGTGAAATAATGGTCCTGAGCTGTTCATTTCCTTCTCCTGTGCCGTAAACAAGGCGTCGAACACGCTCGTTGCTCACGCGGTGTTCCCACCAGATGTGAGCTAAATTGCGAAGGCACCTGTGGTCGAACGTAACTAGCCTCCTTATGTTCGTTGATCTAAGGGGCCAAGTTTCACAACCGTACTGAAAGAGTAGTTCAGTTTTAAAAAGGAAACCGAGAACAACACGGAGAAAATCATAGTTTCTTCAGAGGGCGTGATACTACCCAGGTGTCTAAGTCCGAGGTATAGTGTTGACTTAGGTGGCACTACCCCGAGCCTGCGGCTGAATGCGCTACCCACAAAGCAGCCGAGCCAAGTATGGGAATCGCGCCTGTTGTGAGCCGGTGAATGATTGCTCAGTTCATGTGCCTTTTGCTTGGTCGGTTACCAAACAGGAGCCCAATTCTCTGTATGGTTTTAACCGGAGGGTGCTGGAATACGATGCCTCACCAATATGAAGCAAGTTGCGTTGACTTTATTTAGTGGCGAGTCGTATCTGGCACGTCGCAGTGTTGTTAAGCAGACATCTGTGGCTTTTTGTTGTGAAAACCCACCACATCTTGTAACATTGCGGCCGAACCATTTGTTGGAACGGGATAATTCGGAACGACCCAGCTGGCACCACATGGAGACTGTTGGGCAATCCAGCCTGCTGTCTGTTGACCGACCTGTGACAGTGTGCACGTTGATGCATGTCATTCTTGGAGAGTTTCGTGGGCCACAAATTGAAGCGAATGAGTTTTACGTTTTCCGTTTCCTTAGGCACCGACACACTGACTGGGCAGGAGCGACCCTGTACGACTGCATGGGAGTCGAAACTCAAAGACAAGCACCTATCAGAGCACTATGGGAGAAGGCCACGAGTTAGAGGGTTGCAAAGTGGGGGGAAATGGAACTGAGCGATATGTATGAGAAAGCGCAAGATGGGGAACCGGAGTACTAGAAATCATTGCATTAGGATCATCAGCCCCTACCTATTCTGCTCGATGCGGAAGATGGGGTGCTGTTTATTATCCTCCGTGACGGCCAGAGTGCCCAGAATTTGTTTGCGGAGAAGTTCATTGTGTTGCATGAGCAGGCTACTGTTAGATGACCCAGGTGTGGAAACGAGAACGTTTGTGGTTCCCAATCGAATTTTCTGATGCTGAAACCTGACTTTAAGGTAGCGGAGTTTACAAGTGGGCTACATGATGTCTATTTTCAAGTGTGCGGAGCTGAGTTCATTCCAACCCCCAACTGTGGTTCTAAGGGACTGAATTTGTTGGCCATTAACCACTACACACTCTGTTATGATTAACTGAAGTGCAAGTATACCACCCAGCACTGCTCGATTGATCATTGATGCACACAGACGTCGCACCACATTAACATTAGAACGTCCGGAGCGGTCATTGTGACCGCTCAGCGTTGTTAAATTTGCATAGTTTTTACATTTATAAACATTTTACAAATATGTTTCTTGACTTTTAATAGTTTTAGACGACCTTCATAACTGTGAAGTTTCACTTTCAAATCTCTTATGGTTTCCGAGAAAACTAGTTGTATTCATACTACTTAGAAAGCCCATTAGCGGTACAAATGACCGCTTTCCTCTAATCCGCATTCTTTTACATTTTCAGTCACCACTATTATTCCTGACAAAGTTACATGCAATATCCGACAAAACGGGAGTGAAAACTAGACGACTCACGATTTTCCATTGATATTGTGCGTTCATTCGATAAATTTTAGCGCCATTGATGCATAATGGCTCGTAGGAGGAAAACAGTTTTTGAGATTTTACGAGAACTTACAGCTATCGATTATAACGAGTCTGGAGACGAGAATGAATATGATGTTGATGAAGACTTCATTTTCCAGGAGTCGGCAGAAGATCACAGCATCCCTGATAGTCAAAGTTCTGACAACGCCACTCTTTATGAGGACAGTAATGTCAGCCGATTGCATCTTCCAGTGATGTTCGCATATCGAACGATTGTACATCGTAGACCGCAATCGAGTTCCAGTCGACTATTGTCGGCAGGATGCCATCACAGAAACTTCTCAAGGCTAGACCAGGACCAACTGTCTACGCTAAGAAATATGTGAAATATGGTGAGCTCTTGAGCGCTTCTGGGTTCACGATTAGGACCGCTACTCGCCGATGTCTTCATGAGGAAGTCGGAGAACACTCACAGCTAATTGAATGTGTCGTCAACTTGGTTTATTACGGTCGATACGTTGATGACATCGAAGATCTGCTAGCCCAATTCAACGCGGCACACAACATAGTGTTCACTATAGAACTTGAAAGTCACAACTCTTTGTCATTCTTAGATGTCCACATCACCAGGACTTCAGCGGGGACAGTACAAAGGAGAGTAGACAGGAAGGCAACTTGGAGCGGTCAGTATACCCATTTCGCCAATTTCGTGTTAATGAGTCAAAAACGAAGCCTCATCCGTTGTCTAACGGAAAGACCGAGGAGAATATGTACGTAAGACACGCTGTCGGATGAGTTGAGTTTCATTCAAAGCGTTCTCGAACAAAATGGTTACCCAGACAAATTCATCCGGTGGCACACGGAGCCACGAGCACCAAAAGTCCAACCAATCACCGCAGAAAAGCGCTTGACCTACTTATCACTGCCTTTCAAGGGTGTTGTGACAGCAGAACACACTACTCGAAGGCTCTACAATGCAACCGCGCAAACCTACTTTGCAGATGACCTCCGTGTCAGCTTCACTTCTACGCCAGTCGTGAGTCACCATCTCAAGGACATGTTACTGAGGTCGAATATTTCCTTCTGTGTGTACCATTTTTCTTGCTCGTGTCGAGCAAGTTATATTGGAAAGACGACCAGGCGACTGTCTGAGAGAGTCCGCGAACATTACTCGGCGTGGCTCTACACTGGTGTCAGAAAGACAGTAGTCAGCGCGGTACTGGGGCATTTGGTCGACTCAAATCACCAAGTGATTGTACTAGAGGCCTTCCGGCCTATCTACAAGATATCTGGATGCCACATGCGTGCCCTCCGATGTCGCCTATTAGCGACAGCGGAAGCAATCGCTTTTCGGCTCCATAACCCCAACTTATGTGCTCAAAACTAGTTTGTACAAGTTTGTACTACAGCTACCATTGCATCAAACTTCCCCATGTAACGGCGCCACGCTTGTCCCTTCTACTAATGCCTTACTCAGTGTCATCACTTGATCACATTGACCGGTCAATTTACTTCATTGATTCATCGTATTTAAATACCCTGTGTTAGTTTTATTCCCATTTTCTGTGATGTATTGGCCTGATGCGAACCATCGATGACCAGCTTGTTCGCCTAGCCGTCTTTTGCTTCTGACATCTCATTGCAGTTCAATTTATGCACTGTAACTCGCACAACGCAGTGCATTAGCTCCAAGTACAGCACTTTGCGTCTTATATTATTGACATTAATGATGACTATACTGGACCAGCGCATATACGAAAGAAGTAGCAAGGTCGCAATTGCTTTACATTTATCCGACGAAAACATCATGTCTAAGAAGCGATGGAGCGAGTTCATGCTTGTCGATATCTTTGTGATTACCTAGTATCTACGGAGCTCCCATCCCATCCTGTGACTGTTTTTTGCACGCTCCATCTACGAACTTGACGCACATCAACCCAACTTGGTCTTTGATCTCACTTGTACTTGTTTACAATTTTCTTAGCTTGTTGTTTCGGTGTTTGATCCAACCAGACCTAATATTGGTGAACAGTAAACACTGGCATCCGATCGGTAGCATGTTACGATGTATTAATATCCATTGCGAACTGGCTGTTTCTTTAATCATCATGGGGCATCAGCTGTTGCTTGGTTTTTGGAACACACACTACTGCGTACTAATCGGTTGCTGGCTTCTGTGTTCTTCCTTTGCCATCCCAGTGCATACTTTTGTCTTGCACTCAGTTTCTCCTACCGAGTCATGCACTCCAAAACGTCGCATGCTGCCACAATTATATCTAGTTTCAGTGTAGCGGCGTCGTCAACACCTGCAAGTACACTCGCACGTCTTTGTCATTTCCTACTACCTTTTAACAACTGCTATCGCCGATTCCGTTATGTCCCACGGCGTTTTCCGATACTCTGCTTTATTTAATAGGCCAAGAGCGTTTTCGGTCCATGGCGCGATCCTACTACCATGATGCAGTTGGGGCTCTTCTTGTTTATGACATAACCAACCGTGATTCTTTCATTGCCCTATCGCACTGGTTGGATGACGCCCGGCAACTGGCTTCCCCGGAAATTGTTGTGATTCTCGTCGGGAACAAAATCGATTTGCAGGTGAGATTTTCATGTGCATATTGCGACCTCCGAATCGCACTACCCATCGTGCCTTACATTTTAGCACTGAGCATATCGGACCATCATTGAAATAATCTCGTTCTTTGCTTTTCTCGTTCTATCTACTTCTCTCCCCACTCACATGCATCCTAACTTATTGGAAGTTAGTGGTTGCCACAACTTTTGGGTCATAGACATTTCCTTCCTCAACAGTGTGAAATCCAGCCAGCTAGAGAAGAGCTAATAATAATACCTTGCATTTCACCGCACAAATGGCGGGCAGAAATTCTTTTCGATACATTTACAGATATTAGGCACAAAGTTCCCGTCCAATGGTGTCGCCATCAGTACGTATAATTCTAACATTGAGTTGCCTAAGAGAACCATCATCATCAACAACAACTGTATATCTGCCATTTGAACTGCTACTTCGCTGTCGTACAACCACAGTTGTGTACCGAACGAAGGATAATAAGAGAGCCAGAAGGGGAACCTATCACAATACCTTAATGCCTTAAGCAAACGTACAGAGTCCATTCGCCCACGCCGTGTCAACAACCTATCATCACAAACAGCTGCCTATCGTGCAAAGATAAGGCGGTATCGGCGAGACAATTTCCTTGCAGCTTTCACTGCCATGCTTCAAGATCAGCCCGGCCCGTAGCCTTAAAGATCACAAGCCTGCCTTGTAATCAGAGAGGGCAGGTTTGTGCCTACATAGGGACCGGGTGACTCTCGCATTACCCCTAGCCCACGCGCGGCTGATGGTGCTTGCGTGACAGCGAAGCGTCGGTACTGCGTATCGGCGTACTGCTGACGTCTTTTCTGTGCCTCATGATCAGACATTACCCCGTAGAGAACTCAGCACCAAACACACCTAAAACAGGCAATCTGACTAGGGACGACTGCAGACACGCCGTAGATGCCGACTGAGAACCATGTCCTGTAATGCCACGAGCCAGGACCAAGGCGGATCACTTGGATTCCAGTCTGGAAGGGGAGACGGGCCAACGACAACAAGTTTAGTCGTCAGTAACTTCATTTTTCGCCGTTAAGTTAACTTGCCCACTTCGAACTTTGCGCTACCCTACATCCGCCAAACGAAACAGGTCCCCCTCGGTAAGCGTTAATCGGGAATATGTGGTACGTGCTTATGCCAACGCAACTTATTTAGTATAATATGTTGTTCCGAGGAACTAGCCTGGTTATCACCGCCTAGCCCTCGCCTATGCACATCGTTGTTGCGGACATGCTGGCGCCATCCGACAAAAGGAATGGTTCGCAGGCAGCAATGATCGAAGACTTTGCAACATTTCAGATCCTCAAACCGGAGGTTCCAAGTCACTGCTATAGTGTGTGACGGCTTTTACTGTGGCCTTGTAAACACGGTCATTCAGGTCCAGGGAGACCCTTTTTTTAATGCCACAGATGTCACAGATTCACGAAGACAGCTCTAGCTTTTTGCGGTAATCGCCAACATGGACATTGGGTCTCTTCACAGTCTTTGGAACTTATAGATGCTCGCCGGCATATTCCGGCTGGAAGCGAACACAATGAAACTCGCAAAGAGCTCCGGGCAAAACTCCGTGCTAGCCTGAAGAGAGACCGCGAATCTTGGTGCTCTCATCGTGCACCAGAGATGGAAATGGCCGCTGCCCTTGGTAACCATCGTAAGTTATTCCGTCTGATACGGGAAACGGGCAGCAGGAGACCTGGTGTTAGTGAAACTATACGTGACGAGAGTGGACAGCCTATCCACAACTTGTCAAAGCGCTTGGAGCGTTGAGCTGAGCACTTTGAAAGGCAATTTATTCGGCCGGAATTAAATTTCTTGCCGGTCACTGATCGCCCCGCTCCGTGGGCTGTCCCTTTGGATCCACCCTCTCGCTCAGAAATCGAACGTGAGATCGGACTGTTGAAGTTAAATAAAGCCGCGGGACCTGATGACCTTCCTCCAGCCCTCTTCAAATTTGGGGGACCTGCTCTTGTGGATAATTTACACGAATTGCTAGTTAAACTGTGGGAGCAGGAAACTGTCTCAACCGATTGGAGCCGCTGCGTCATAGTCCCAATTTTCAAAGGTGGCTCACGATCGGAATGCGGCAACCATATAGGAATCAGTCTGATCTCCATCGCCTCCAAATTGCTTGCCTCTATCATCCTTCACAGACTGACAACGTCAGTTCATCCGTTTCCCTTTGGAGTCCTCGTGTCTCGCTAAGATTGGCATGCCTCAACGTGCGCACTTTGCTGCAGATTGGCCAACAGGCAGCACTTGCCCGCACACTAGAGACCCTATCGATCGATATTTACTGTTTATCAGAAACCCGCCTGCAAGATTCGAGCTCCCTGCTTACCCTGAGATCCCCCACATGCGACACTGGCGGCACATTCTCATTGCGCCTATCTGGCGATGATGCAGCTTCAAATGCCGGTCAAGCCGGCGTCGGCATTGTTTTGAGTCCCCGGGCTGAAGCTGCCCTGCTTGATTGGATCCCAGTAAACAGTAGGATGTGCGCCGTTAGATTAGCTGGTTCGTTCCGTGCTTCGAAGTCGCGCGGAGACAAACGGTGCCTGTTTGTCATTGCGGCCTACGCCCCTACAAACTGTAGCACTGATTCGGTAAAAGATGATTTCTACCAGCAACTTCACGAGCTCCTTCGTTACAGAAGAAGCACGGATACTGTGGTGCTGGCTGGCGATCTAAACGCCCAAGTCGGAAAATTGTCCTCTGATGAGCTTCATCTGGGCGGCCAACATGGTGTAGGCTCCCGTAATGATAATGGTGAGCGATTGCTCCAGCTGTGTGAAGATACTCGCCTGTTTCTCGCGAGCACTAATTTTCGACACAGCACCCGCAGAAGCGTGACTTGGCGGCCACCAGCCTCGGGCCAGTCATGGACGCAAATCGATCATATCGCGATCAATTACCGCTGGAGAGGCTGTGTCCAAAACTGTCGCTCGATTTGGAGCACGAGCGTGGACTCTGACCACGCACTTGTCTGTGCCGACCTCCTGATGCGCTTCGGTGGACGTCCGCAACGTTGATGTGAACGGATTGACACTAGCCAGCTGGCGAAGCCAGATGTTCTGAATGTGTACCAAGATGCGCTGACATCTGGGCTGAGTAAGCGCCCACTAAACACCGTTGAAGATCACTGGTCGCACACTCGTCAAGCGTTGCTATTAGCAGGCATGTCTTCATGTGGCAAAACAAATTGCCAAACTGGACATTGGGTCTCTACACAGTCTATGGAACTTATGGATGCTCGCCGACGTATTCCGGCTGGAAGCGAATACAATGAATCTCGCAAAAATCTCAGGGCGAAACTACGTGCTAGCCTAAAGAAGGACCGCGAAACCTGGTGGTCTCATCGTGCCTCTGAGATGGAAACAGCCGCTGCCATTGGTAATCATCGTAAGTTATACCGTCTGATACGGGCAACAGGCAGCAGGAGACCTGGTGTTAGCGAGACCATACGCGACGAGAGTGGGCAGATGATCCACAGCCTGTCAAAACGCTTGGAGCGTTGGGCTGAACACTTTGCTATGCAATTTAACCAACCTGAGTTATCACTTTCTTCGGGCATTGAACGCCCTTCTCCTTGGGCCGTCTCCCTGGATCCGCCCTCACGCGCTGAAGTCGAACGTGAGATCAGGCTGTTGAAATTGCATAAGGCCGCAGGGGCAGATACTATTCCTCCAGCCCTCTTCAAGTTCGGTGGACCTGCTCTAATAGGTGATCTACACGAGTTGCTAGTAAAACTTTGGGAGCAGGAGACAGTCCCGACAGACTGGAACCGCTCCGTCATTGTCCCAATTTTCAAGGGAGACTCCCGTTTGGTATGTGGTAATCATAGAGGGATCAGTCTGATTTCGATTGCCTCTAAATTGCTTGCCTTTGTCATTCTCCACAGACTGACTGGCACTCGTGAAAGCCAAATTCGTGAAGAGCAAGCCGGATTTCGTCGAGGTCGGGGCTGCATCGACCACATCTTCACATTGCGTCACGTGTTGGAGCACCGCCATGTTTATTGGCGACCCACCGTTGTCGTGTTTCTTGACATAAAAGGTGCCTTCGACTCAGTCGATCGATGTGCCCTTTGGGACTGTCTGTTGAGGAAAGGTGTGCCTGATAAATATGTAAACATTATCAAAGCGCTGTACGCACATAGTTCGGGCAGGGTGAGGGTTTATGGCAAACTCTCGCCACCCTTCAGTATCACCAGCGGTGTGAGACAAGGATGCCCGCTGTCACCTTTCCTCTTCAACTTCGCTATTGATGAAGTCATGGAAACAGCGTTCGCTGGACACGACCTAGGTGTGGAGCTACTCCCTGGTGAACGACTTCTTGACTTGGAGTATGCAGACGATATTGCCGTAATCTGTGACGGCTCCCAAACATGCCAAACAGCACTGAACCGATTAGCACTGGCTGTCAGTCGTTTTGGGCTATGCTTTGCTCCATCAAAATGCAAAGTACTTCTCCAAGATTGGCAGGGACCCAATCCTGCGCTAACGCTTGGTGGTGATCTGCTAGAAGTCGTTCAGGAATTCAAGTACCTGGGCAGCTATATTAGCACCCGTGGGATTGAAGATGAGGTTACGAACCGTATAGCAAAAGCTCGAGGTGCTTTTGCCAATCTCCGCCACCTGTGGCGCAGACGCGACATTACTCTCGCCCTCAAGGGCAGAGTTTACAACGCAGCCGTCCGTTCAACTCTCCTATATGGCTGTGAAACCTGGCCCATCAGGTCGACAGACATGAAGAGACTCGTCACATTCGATCATCGCTGCCTTCGCAGCTTAGCTCATGTCTGGTGGGAACACCGCGTGAGCAATGAGCGTGTTCGACGTCGCGTATATGGTGCAGGAAGAGCGAGTGAACCGCTCAGCACGATTATATCACGCACCTGGCTCCGATGGCTGGGCCACGTCTTGCGCATGCCAGCACACCGACTCCCACGACGTGCATTGTTTGCGCGTTGTGGGTGCGGTTG